ATATTATATTTAATCACTTTTTTATTAATTTCAGTAATATTATTGACTAATATGAAAATAGTCATAAGATTGTTATCATAATACAGTTCGTAAATGAATATTTTCTGTTTTTTAGTAAATATATTATTTGAGAGACTTGCTTTGTTTACCAATTAAGTGGATCGAATGGGATTTGTATTGTAAACATTAAATAAAAGTCAGAAAGGTGTTATTTTTATTTCATATATCAAGTTTTTTGTTACAATACTCCCAAAATCATTCCGCATAAATCCGAATATGTTTTTACAGAATTATGCACAGAATTATGCGCAAAAAAAAAAAAAAAAAAAGTCTGCAGATTCTGTCTGGCCCTACCTATAGGTCATGGACAACACAANTCACCCCTGCTCTAGCTCCTTCCTCAGTATCTGATTGTCTTGTCCAGGGATGGGCAAACTTGACCTTGGTCGGCTGTTGTCCCTGCAGGCTTTTGCTCCAACACTAGTCAAAAACACCTGAACACACTAATCAGTGTCTTCAAGATCACTAGAAAGCTACAGACAGGTGTGTTTGATTAGGGTTGGAGCAAATCTATGCAGGACACCTGCCCTCCAGGATCAAGTTTGCCCACACCTGGTCTAGACTCTGGCTGCATGTGAAATCACCTACCACTCAATAGGTAGTGAATTTGAATTTACTACTTGATCGTTAGAAAAGTAAGTTCTATACAGTATCGCTGCGTCCGAAACCGCATACTTCCATACTATATAGTACGCTAAAATCAGAATGCGAGCCAAGTATGTCCGAATTCTTAGAATTCGAAAATTAGTCGGCGAGAAGCACCCGGATGACTTCCTACTTCCAGCGAGATTCTGAAGTGCGCATCCCATGCACGCTGCGCTATCCCATAATGCCCCGTGAGAGAATTCATGAATGGAAGTGAGGCGACGCAACTGACGCAGGTGGGTCATGTGACCATGACAAAATGGCAGATGTAGTACGTCCGAATTCCATTAATACTTTTCACATTCATACTGAATAGAATGTACTTTTCTAACAGCCGAGTAGTATGTTTTCATTCAAATGCAGTACCTACTGAGTAGTAGGCGGTTTCGGACGCAGCCTATGAATTTAACATACTGTATAGACTTACTACGTCCACCATTTTGTTATGTTCACATGACCTATCCACGTCAGTTGTGTTGCTTCACTTCCATTCATAAATTTGTCTAGCGCTACATCATGGGATAACATAGCCTCCATTTGATGCACACTAGAATTTGGCCGGAAGTAGTAGTACTTCTCGTATACTGTTTTTCAAAATCTATGAATTCATACATACTACTCGGTTCACATACTATATAGTATGGAAGTATTCAATTTCAGACACAGCCCCTGCTTTATCCCATCTCACTTCTCCATAGTAAGTGAACAACGCCGAAGGAAGCCATCAGCAATCTGCTAGAAACTCAGGGGGGAAGAGTCGAGGTAAAGCAAGAACAGGGAGGAATACAACAGATCAGGCTGTCGTTGAGGGAAAATTAAATGGGTAATCAGGGCTCAGCACTCATAATGTTTGAACTACTGAACAACTTACACCACAATCACACTACGAGCAACACATTGGTTGTATGTCCGTGCTGTAACCCTGTATGTCCGTGCTAAACCCTGTTCCTGGAGATCTATAGCTGCGTCCCAAATCGCATACTTATGCACTATTCTACGCCATTGTGTAGTATAAATAGTGTAAGTAGTGTGTTCACACTGAAAACGCAAAAAATAATAAGAGCACTTTAATTACCCAGATGATGCACTCATTCAGCCGCTAAAATGAAGTGTGAAATGATGGACACTTCACGCACTCAACGATCGCAGGTTAGCTCACGTAGCGGAAGGGGCGGAGCTATCGGACGCACATGTCGAATAACTTTATTTATTTTGGATGGTGAAAGCAAAATTCTCCTACGAGAGTAATTATAGCGCCCCCCGATGGTGAATGCGGCAATACTCACGGCAGGTATTATTTGATAATTCTTTAGTTTATTTAACTGATTTGTCAAACGTCATCAGCGAAACGGTTTGAATTTCCGTTTAGTAATAAAACATAAGTGTGCCATTTGGGACGACACTACATACATATACTATCCTGTTGGGTGTGTAAGTGCATAAGTACATACTGCATGAGTGCATACTGTAAAGTGTGCCATTTGGGACGCAGCTTATCTTTCTGCAGAGTTTAGCTTCAAGCCTCATCACAATCTCTCTTATTCCACACTCTAACTTTTGTTTGTTGTGAATTCACACCCTCTTGTGGTGACAATTACAGTCCTCGTCAGTAGTCCAAATTTCTCTTATTTCTTTTAACATTCTTCAAAATATTTGGGATAATCTATGTGCATAGCTCAGCAACAAAAAAATATGACGCTGTCCGTTTCGATTTTTTTAACGAAAAAGAAAGGTGTTGTGGTTTTATTTTCTTTCACCCTGACCTGTACTTAAATCAGTTTCTGAAGGGTTTGTGTTATGTTCTTATATTTCCTCTCAGCTTTTTATGGGATTTGGCTTCCCCTACGAAGGCCCCGCCCCTTTAGAGGCCATAGCCAATGGCTGCATATTCCTGCAGCCGAAGTTCAGCCCCCCTCGCAGCTCCCTCAACCATGAATTCTTCAGAGGGAAACCCACTTCCAGAGAGGTGAGCCGATCTGAGTAACACACACACACACACACACACACACAAGCACGCACACATTTTTGCATTTACTGTATAGCATCATGGGTAATGTAGTTTCTTTTGTATGAATAGTTAACATTTTTTATTGTTTGTTTTGTTCAGGGCTCAAGATCTGTTTTAATATTTAGTTTTGATCTGTTCTCTTTTGTTTTTAATTAATACTGTTTATTTTATTTTATTGTTTTTGTTTTGTTTTATTCTGTTTCGGTTCATGTAGTGTCTTTCAGTTTTGCTTTAATGTTTAGTTTTGTTCTGTTCTTTGTTTTAAATTTGTTCCTATTTTATTTATTTATTTGTTTATTTACTTTGGTGTGTTTTGATCTGTGTGTTTGTTTTGCTTTGGTTTATTCTGGGTCTGTTCATGTATTGTCTTTCAGTTTTAATATGTTGTTTTGTTCTGTTGTTTTTTTAAAGTTGTTCTTTATTTATTTATTTATTTAGTTAGTTAGTTAGTTAGTTATATTTTAATGTGTGTTTTTTGTTTTTGTTTTGGATTAATCTGGTTTGGTTTGTGTGGTTCAGTTTTGTTTTAATATTTTATTATTATTATTATTATTATTATTATTATTATTATTATTATTATCATTATTTATTTTTTTATCTTATTTAATTAATACATTTATTTATTTATTATAATGTTTTTGGCTTTGTTCTGTAATTTTGCTTTGTTTTGCTTTACTCTGGTTTGGTTCAAACAATTAAAGTCAGAATTATTAGCACCCCTTTGGTTTATATATATATTTAAAAATTTAATTTTAAATACCCTAATCAGACATTTATGAATGTGTCAGTGCTTATAGATTCCTTATTGTTTGTTTGTTTGTTTGTCCCTAAACATGGTTGATACTGCCTACATTTTACAGAAGTGTTATGGCCTGTTGAATGTGATTCTCACTCCAATAAATTGCCCAAATATTCACAAACATAAAATAACCACACACACACAAAAAAAAAAAAAATGCACAATCAAATGTAGATATAGTGTGCATGTAGCAATATGTTTATTATTCTCAATATAGTCTCACATGGGTTTTGCAATAAGTAAAAAATTATTTTGACATTTTTTCTTAGCGATAAATGTGCTGGATAATAATAATAATAATAATAATAATAGTAATAATAATAATAATAATAATAATAATAATAGTAATAATAATAATAATAATAATAATAATAATAGTAATAATAATAATAATAATAATAATAATAATAATAATTTTATTTCATTTCATTTAATATTTTTTTTATTTTATTTTATTTTCTAAAACATTTCGAAATGCAGTTAATAGGCTATCAACTCATATTTATATTTATTTGTCTGCCCATCAGGTGTCGTCACAGCATCCGTACACTGAACAGTACATCGGCAAACCCCACGTCATAACAGTAGACTTCAACAACTCGCAAGAGTTTGAGAAAGCTGTTCAAGAGCTACTTAAATACAAGGTAAGTTTACCTATCATCTGGTACAATGGTTGGTGAACTGCTTTATACAGACGGCAGCCTGTAATACTCGATTCTAATTAGTTGCCATCAGACATTACAAGGCATGTTATTCAAAGATAACAACCACTACACAGGCTTATCAGGGAACTTCAAATCAAGGTGGCCATCTGTGAATACATTCAACTCCATATACCTACATGTAATTGAATGTAGTAATTACATAACAATTTATATAGCACATTTATCGTGTATGCCCACACACCCAAAGCAATTCACAATCATGAGGGGGGTCTCTCCGCAGCACCACCAGTGTGAACAGGTTGAGAGCCCCCTGCTGGCCTCACTAACACCACTTCCAACAGCAATCTTTCCCATGTGGTCTCCCATCCAGGTACTGACCGGGTGCAGCCCTGCTTAGCTTCAGTGCCTAACCAGTCTTATGCTGTGTTCACACCAGACGCGGAACGATCGGATAAATCGCGCTATTCGTGCGTAAATAGCCACGTGAACATTTGAGTTACTCGCTTCATTCGTGCGTCAAACCTCGCTTCATTCGCGTGTCAAATTCACTTCAGAACAGACGCAGATTCGCGTGATGGGCAGGGCTTCTGTCTGCCCGAAGACTCTAGCTTCATAGCTAAATGGCTAACATGGATTTTATGAAGAAAATAACAGTGTTTATGTGCTTTATGAAGACTGAAAAACAGCGTCGATACGTTTAGGGTCGTGTCTGCTCTGTGAGTGGTGCTTCTGACTGAGCCAAGCCGAGTTTGATGAACAACAGGTTCTACGTCACAATCACGCCCCCACAAGAACAAGCTTCTGATTGGTTAACGCGGCGCGAATGTACGCTGAAGTTCAGATTCTCGAGAGATTCGCGCGAAAACGCTAATCGCCCCGAACCATTTTCACAATTTGCATCATTCGCGCGTATCGTGCCTCAGGATGTCGGTAACACTTTATAATAACTACACACCATGAATCATTTATTAAGCATTAGCAAATAGTGAATTCATTATCTGTTAAGCATTAACTCTACATTAATAAACGTTAGTAAGCAGTTTATAACTGCGGCTACAAATGCTCTATTCTTGACTTATAAGCACCTATATAATGTGCTTGATAATTGTACTTTCATCCTTAGTTAATGATTTATCTTTCATTACTAAATTAAGTATCACATTATTTACAAACCATTTGTATTTAATAGTAGTTGGGGGTTTTAGGATCATTCAGAATGAGTTAGTAAATGATTAATAAACTATTGAAATCAACGTTTGTATGTCTTATTATTCAGGAATATATTAATGGTTACTATGTATTTTAATAAATGTTTTATTAACTCAACTTTATCTAGTTTTGTGACCTAATCTAAAGCGAGGACTATTTATGCTTTATAATCCCTTATAAATGACAAATAAAGGCTCAGTTAAATTATAAACAGGAAAAATGACATTATTCATTCCTATTTAATTTAAAGATACACAAATGAATTTGTACTTCAAATGAAAAATAAATCTTTGCAACCTTATCTAAAATAAAACCACTGTAGAGTTTAAACATTGCATCCAATTATATTGTTAAATTAATATTTTATTACATTGTTGTTATTGTTTTATCTAGTTTTATGTTGTATTTTAACACTCCTATTATTCAGCAATGTTTAAACTTTATGGTAATTTTACTTTTTAGAAAAGATTGCAAGGATTGTTGTTCACTTGAATCTGAGCCTTTAATAGTCATTTATAAGGGATTTATAAAGCATAAATAGTCCTCACTTTAGATTAGGTCACAAAACTGCATGAAGGTGAGTTAACAAAGCATTTATTAACATATTAGTATATGTCTGAATAATAAGAAATATAAATGTTGATTTCAATAGTTTATTAATCATTTACTAACTCATTTTGAATTATCCTTAAAACCCTCAACTACTCTTAAATACAACTAGTTTGTAAATAATGCAATACTTAATTTAGTAATGAAAAATAAATCATTAACTAAGTATGAAAATACAATTATTAAGCACATAATATAGATGCTTATAAGTCAAGAATACAGCATTTGTAGCTGCAGTTATAAACTGTTTACTAACGTTTATTAATGTAGACTTAATGCTTAACAAATAATGAATTCACTAGATACTAATGCTTAATAAATGATTCATAGTGTGTAGTTATTATAAAGTGTTACCAGGATGTCTATTCGCGCATTTGCATTGACTTAACATGTAAATCACTCGCGATTGACGCGCGTTCCGCATCCTGTGTGAACGCAGCATAAGGCTAAGGATGGCTGACGTGAAACTGACGTTTCGACACAGTGTCCCGAAGCGCAAGTGTTTCGGAACACTGCAGTGAAGCATGATCCGAAGCACCCAAGTCACGTGATGAAAGTGTTTCGAAACACCTGGTCACGTGACTAAAGCGATTCAAAGCATGGATCAGCTTAAAAGCGTTTCGAGACCTGTCGAATCTCCATTTGGCTGCCAAAGTCAAGAAAAATTCTGTTTCATATGGCCTAGTGGACTGTGCGTGTGCATGCTGAGACTGTGCTTCGAATGACGTTTTGGGTTCGAATCCCGACTTGTACAAACAATCTGAAATCATGGTTTCATGTTTCTGTTTTTTTCTAGCCTAAATAGGATACAGTTGCAGTTACGCCATCAATATAGCATCATTTTTTGTAACACTGTAAAACTATAATTAATAATTTTACAGTACTGTGATAGTTGGGTTTAGGGTTTGGGTAGACATTAAAAAAAATACTTACTTTTTTTTTTACTTACTTTTAAAAAGAAATACTTGGAAATTTAATGAATAATATAAATAATTCTTGATAACTTCAGGCCACAGTCTCTGATCTAGCAACAACCCTGTTTTGAGACCAAAACAAGACATATTAAATCTCAAATCGTTTATTCGGATATCAAACAAAATGATACAAGCGCAAAGCATTACCAACTAGTATAAAAGCATTTCAAAACAACAATATCAGCTTGACCACCAAAAATGACCACTAGGTGTCACTGTAGAGTGGGGTTTCAAAACGTTTCGAAGCTTCGACAAATTTGCTTAGAATGTTTCAGTGTTTCACGAAGCCTCGCTTTGCCCACCACTATCTTAGGCCGCAGTGTGATATGGCTGTGACATCCATATTCAGATACTACTATATTCATATGTGTCATCTTGTCTGTCATGCCTCGGTTTTAGACGAGTTGGTGTCGTCTCGTGAATGAATAATTTGTAAGTTAGTATATGGTCCATTCAGCCAGTTTTGTTTCTGTCAGCTTTGTGTTTTGGACTCTTTAGCGAAATCTTGTGTCTGAATAATGTGCAGGTTAGTGTATACTCCATCAGCTGTTTTCATTTCTGTCAGCTTTGTGTTTAATTAAAGAATTAATAAGCCATTTTGGGTCAAAACAATGCAATTTGTATGATTAATAAACCAGATAAAGTACATCCAGGATGGTTGTTTTTGCAGAATGTCAACCTGCCGATAAGCTTGTTGGGCTTTATCATGTAATATCAACCTCCTGAATGTACTTTATCCCTTATATACAATATGTGTTGCTCTCATTTCTGGCCATGCTGTGTATATATAGTGTCAGTCAGAATGGTAGATGGAAGAGGAAGACTTACAGATGCTCTCATCTTTTGCCATAACTATATTTCTTGGTGCCAATTAAACACTGGGGTGCCATGAATACTTTTTTTAGTCATTTTAATCTTTAGCTCTGACTCACTTGCTTTTTGTAAGCACACACTTCCTGTTGTTATGGGAACACAGGCAGTACCTTTCAAAAGTTGGAGATCTCGATGAAGTTTCTTTAATCTACTGTAAAAAGGAATAGGAAAGCAAACAAAAAGGGGGAAAGCATGTTTTTGTATGCAAAGAACAAAAAACAGTACAGATATTCAGAAAGGCAGTCTCTCCGGTTTGCGCTTCAGCACTGCACAAATATTCAGACATCATTCAGATGTAATCTCTGTTAGCCGTAAACAAAATCAAATCATTTGATCTTTGTCAAAAACTAATTTCCTGTAAGGTTTGGCTATCATGCTTTTTTGTTTAAAGGTACAGCTCTTTCTATCGTTAAATGTTATGTATTAAGGTAGTAGTTGGGTTTAAGTAGTGGGTAGGATTAAAAATGTAGAAGAAAAAAAAGATCATACAAAATACACTCACCGGCCAGTTTATTAGGTACACCTTACTAGTACTAGTCTTAATCCTTCAGGCCATAGATTCAACAAGGCACTGGAGATATTCCTCAAAGATTTTGCTCCTTTTTGACATGATCGCTTCACGCAGTTGCTGCAGATTTGTCGGCTGCATGTCCATGATGCCAATCTCCCGTTCCACCACATCCCAAAGGTGCTCAATTGTATTGAGATCTGGTTATTGTGGAGGCCATTTTAGTACAGTGAACTCATTGTCATGTTCAAGAATCCAGTCTGAGATGATTTGCACCTTATGACATGGCGCATCATCCTGCCGGAAGTAACCATCAAAAGGTATACTTTGGTCATAAAGGGATGAAAATGGTCAGCGACAATACTCTGTGGTGTGTACAATACTCTGTGGTGCTGACATGATGATCAATTGGTCTTTATGGACCCAAAGTGTGCCAAGAAAATATCCCCCACATCATTACACCACCACCAGCCTAAACTGTTGATACAAAGCAGGATGGGTCCATGCTTTCATGTTGTTGATGCCAAATTCTGACCCTACTATCCGAATGTTGCAGCAGAAATGGAGACTCATCAGAGCAGGCAACGTTTCTCCAATCTTCTATTGTCCAATTTGTGATTGGCTGATAAGAAGTTTGTGTTAACGAGCAGTTGGACAGGTGTACCTAATAAAGTGGCCAGTGAGTGTATGTGCTTCATAAATACTAATAAACATAATAGGCAGGAAATAATTCACTATTAACTATAATTTATTTCCATACAGGAGCATTACCATTTCTAAATATCAGATCAGTATTTTTATTATTCTTAGTTTTTTGCTATTTGATATTGGTTTTGCATTGTCGAGTCAGTCTAGACAGTGGAACATCAAATCATATGCTCGGGTTTTTATTGGAAACAGGGGCGCAGGTATAAAACCTTATTAAAGGGTAAATGTTTCTGCTTTTATAACTAATGGCAGGTAAGTTTGTCTTTGTCTCCAAAGGAATAGATCAGTCACAAATGACCTTTGCTTTTAATTCACTCACGCTCATATAATTCCAAATGTTCAAGTTCACTAAGCCAGTACTGATATGAATAGTTTAATATATAAGAGTTTTATAATGGCAGTATGTGCCTCAGCATGTTTGTGAAACCTAAAATACATTGCTTCGGGTACATTTCTTTGCATGTTTCAGATGGAAAATCCACTAGAGGGCGCTAGTTAAGGGAATGTTTTGATGTTTGTTTCAGATACACGTACATCTTGTATACCTATAAATGGGTTTATGTCTAAATAATCAATAGTGTTTTCAAAAGCAGATGTAAGAGAAAAGTGCACTGCGACAACAGTTTTATCTTGATTTGTCTGTATAGAGCTAGATAAGGTAATTCAATTACAAATCATAGACACAGTTAAGTAGTTTTGTAGTATTTATTCGCTGTTGTGCAAAGAATTGCGCTGAATAATTGTTTATTTGTTGTTAATATTCAGTGTTGGGGAGCAACGGAATACATTTAATGGCGGTACGTATTTAGAATACTATTTATGAGTAACTGTATTCCGTAACAGTTAGCATTTTTAAACAGGGTATTTAGAATACAGTTACTTTCCTAATACCATTGGAATGCTTCGGGCGCCGCCGAAACCATAGAAACAGAAGCAACACTCCCAACTGCAATCACCAGCGTTAACTCAGTGAGACTCATGCAAATGACCCTGTTCTCATGCTCTCACGGCACACCTCCATTTTCTCCCGCAGCAAAAAGGACGATCGTAAACACCGAACAACAACCATGATTTTCAAATAAACTGCTTTTTTTGCCGTCATTGTTCGTGAATTCGCTGCTTGATGTTTCGTTTGCGCTTTCAGAGGTTTCGTTTACGCTTCTTCAATTTACGTTCGCTTTTCTGACACAAATGTGGGCGGGACTTATGGGCACCCTAGCCAAAGTTGGCAGCCCTGGTTAACTTGAGTGTACAAAAATGGAGGATTCAGACCAGGAGCTTTACATTTTCGTAAAGCAACCATATTTTGAATTCTTCTTATATTTGAAATATTGTTCTTAATTGAGAAGTTTTCATAATATAAATTAAAATGTTGGATAGAACCTGTTACATTACCTTGGTTTTACGTAAACTATTTTGAAGTTTTTCTTTTCTTGCATACCTGATATTTTTTCTGTGAAGACTGTGAAATACCAAGGGTACGCAAAATGCATATTATATACATATACTGTAAATTACAGACAGTAATCCTGTCTATGTTCAAACACTTTTTATCTTTATTACCGAAACAGAAGCTTCATTTGTTGACACTTTGATAAATAAACATTATTTAATAAGAATAATTATATTGTTTTATTTATTTTTCCCTATCAGTCAATAATGTTTAGCATTAGAGGCCCTCTGTTTTCTTGCAGAAATTGCTACCAACGCATAGTGTGCCATTTAATAGACTTGAAAGTTTTCAAGGGGAGCTATTCCAAGTATTGAGAATACAGTACCAGGATTAAGCAAAGTAACAGAATACGTTACAAAATACTTTTAAAGCAGGTATTCTGTATCGGCAAAGTATTCTCGCCAACACTAACAAAATGATCCTTTAAATATCATTAGCGTGAAAAGGAACAAAAGTTGTTTGTGTCAGACTGCCCTAAAGCATTCATTTTACCTTGAAACTGCAGTCAATAACATATTTTTGCAATTTCACAGAAATATAAGCTAAAGCACATGTTCAATGAACCTGTGTTTTTATTTTAATAGCCGCTTTGCTGAATCAATATGAAATGGTTCACTTATTATGAATGATGTAAGATGTATCTTTAAATTTAAGTCAAAGGCCATAGCTTTATAGTTTTCCCCACATTTCATGGTAAATAAATATTAAGAGTCTAGTTTGTATGTCTTTTTTTTTGTTTTTTGTTTTTTGCACAGGTAGAGCCGCTGATACCATACGAGTACACTTGTGAAGGCATGCTGGAGAGAGTCAACGCTTACATCCAACATCAGGTACGTAAGCTATTCAGGAACTATGAATATATGAAAAACCAAGTTTATATATGATTAATCTCAAATATATATTTAGATTGTCAACAGCATGAATGAACTTGCTAGTGGCAGCAGAACTTGCTGTAGTTACAGTGTAACTATTCATTTAACTATTAATTTTATGAACTTACTGTATGGTTGGGGTTAGAATGTGGGTTAGGTTTAGGGTTAGTTAAATTAAATTCTGCATGTAAATACTATACCAAGTGTATGGCACATGTGTAACTACGTCATCTTAAATTGAAGTGTTACCCATTGTCTCATGTCACACACTGTGTTCCATGCTAAAAGGCTCAACATAGGCTGAGAAAACGTACCCATATATACATTTCTGGAGATCGTGAATTGTGTAGCCAGAAGTACGTATGGCAGCATTTCGTCTTTAAAACGAACGATACGGGGCGGTATGACGCCATTCTTTTCCGCTTATTAGCTGACCGCTTACTTCCATATGGACGACCTTGTCCAGTAGCTCGTCATGTACATCGGCAAACTGGAGGTTTGAGTTCTGGTGAAGAACGGTTTCAGAAAGCAAAAGCTAAAAACCAAAATAATCGAGTAAATAACGATGGAAATGTGGTCAAATCTGAAAATGTGATCAAACAAAACAGGCCGTGCCATTTCTTTGAGAAATTTGAGGTGTTAAAAAGCGAACACAGCGGCCCCTGGTGGATTTGCGAACTGCAAAACACACATCTCATTGGACGGATTTGGCGCTTTCCAGAAATGTAGTGGTACATTTTCAGAAAGGCCTGGGTTGGAAGGGCTCATCCCTATGCCCTAATCCCCTTAAAATCTGTCACTCCAGAGGGTAAAAACCTTCAAAGAGATTAGGGGCTCTGTTTTGACGGTCCATGCGCAGGGCGCAAACGCTTTCAGGGCATGTCAGAACGCATTTTTGATAATTTACGGACGGGAAAATGCGATTTGCGCCGTGGCGCATGGTCTAAAAGGGTTGAGTTTATTTTCTTAATGAGTTATAGGTGTGTTTTGAGAATAAACAATTAGAGTCTCATCTCCCATTTCCTTTAAGAGCCAGCTGCGTCACGCCATAAGCGCATTCGCTATTTACAGGACGCAAAGTAAGTCTAAGTGGAAAAACTGAGCATTTCACAAGCAAACAGTTCACAGTTTATTGTTAACAGAGCATCTACTGCGTGAGAATGAGAGATAATGGATCACTTTCACTTTCGCTCTTGAATAGGGAAACCTTTACGCACAGACATCAATTATAAATAATTGATTTTGTTTGTTAAGTGCAAAGATTTGTTTCAAGACTATTTCTAAATTCAGTTCTAATTTCCAGCAAACGAATAAATGAACAATAATAATGAAGTGTGCTCAAAATACTGAGTTATTTCCAAATACACCTGCCATGCCCCATATGGTCTAAAACCTGACAGGTGGACAAATCTAAGCTTGCTTTTAATAAAACAAATATAAATATGGATATAATAAATAATACTGCTAATAATAATAACAATATACAAAAGCAAATTGTTATGAATGAACTGAAAAAGCCTCCCGAGATGAGGACAGATAAAGACATAAAAGCAGTGATTTTTCATATTTATGTAGGCTAGAAAATAATATGTTTTGTAATATTTTAATCATTTATATTTATATCCTATATCTATTCTTATTATATCCTATATATATATATCCTTAATATTTACATTTTTCATATGTAAAGATATTTGTCTATTGCTCTCTTGTGTGTATTAAGCAGTGTGTAAGCGAGGTGCAACTCTGCGCCGGAGTTTAGACCGGGTTAGTTTTGGTCTAATAAAAAAATCTATTTTAGTTTCTCAAAATAGCAACGCGCCAGCGGTCCGCCTCAGAACGCCTTCCTTTTTAGACCAGAACACCTATGGGCGCACATATGAGTGCTAATGCATTTGCTATTTAAACAGCGCAGCGCAACGCCTCAGAACGACTCTTGCGCCAAGCTGAAACTACCAAAAGACTACTGCGCCACGCCTTGCGCCACACTGTGCCGGGTGTATGATAAGGCCCTAGGACATAAGAATGAATGGAATGAACTGAGAGTATATCATCCATTACTTTTCATATTTTAGACACATTGTTATCTATGTAGCCTACAGTTTAGGACAGATCGTGTACAATTTGGCAGCAATGCAAGTCTATGATTGCACGCACATGCACCCGTAGACAAAAATAAAAGAGAATAAGGGTAAGCATTTTTCGCCTATGAAGTGCACTACATATGCGCTGAGCTTGCTTGCTGGATGCCTTTGGGATCTGATGTGAGCACATACACTGAATTGCACACTTCTGAAAACTGAAGTTACTACAGCTTCAATAACTTTTGAGCTCAAAATCCAAAATAACATTCACAAGCTATAACGACTGTGGCGATTGAGGAATAGTTTTATCACTTTATTAAGTTGAAACAGTTAAAACAGTTCAATATTAGTTAAAAACAACGATATTTTGTATTTTGACTCTCCTGCAGAGTTCAGATCAACCCTAATTAAACCCATCAGACTCACCTGACACTTGTAGGCAACTATACAAAAACTGGTTGGTGCCTAAATTTTTCGGATAATGCAGGACAAATCTAATCTACAGGAACCTGCTGTACTCTGTTCTGTTGCTGCATCTCTATATACATTTGAGTGTGTTTTTCTGTCTTTCATTTTTAAGAACTTGCTCATCTGACATAGGTCTATAAGACATCTCCTCCCATATGACAATGCTATAGTAATTTACAGCAAGAGACAACAGTGTTTCTGAGTCATGCTATAGTAAAGTGTGTTGATGTATGTTATACTATTTACAACACTTTGTCAATGAATCCTACAACATCTATCTATATATACATCCGTCCATCTATCTATCTATCCATCCATCCATCCATCCATCCAAACAAACAACCAAACAATCTATCTACCATCTGTCCATACTGTATATCCATCTAAACAATATCTCAATATCTCAATCATCCATGCATCCATGTATCTGAACAATTTCACTAATATCCATGCTTCCAAACAATTTCTCTACCATCCATCTAAACAATCTCTCTACCGTCCATCCATCCATCCATCCGTCCATCCATCCATCCATCCATCCATCCATCCATCCATCCATCCACATATCCATCCATCCATCCATACAAACAGTTTCTCTACCATTCATCTATCCATCCAAACAATCTCTCTACCATCCATGCATTCATCTATCTAAACAATATCTCTGCCGTCAATCCATCCATATAACAATCTCTTTATTGTCTATCCTTCCATCCATCTAAACAATTTCACTACTATCCATCCTTCCATCCATCCTTCCATCCATCCATCCTTCCAAACAAACAATCTCTCTACCGTCTGTCTTTCCATCCATCTAAACAATCTCTCTACCATCCATCTATTCATCCATTCATCTAAACAATCTCTCTACCCTCTGTTCATCTATCTAAACAATCTTTCTACCCTCCATTCATCCATCTAAATGATTTATTTTTCTGTCCATCCATCCATCCACTCATCTAAACAATTTCACTACCATCCATCCATCAATCCATCCATCCTCCCTTCCAAACTGTCCGTCCATCCATTTAAACAATCTCTGTCATCCATCCATCCATCCATCCATCCATCTATCTATCCATCTATCCCTCTAATCTATTGATACTACACCTTCTACATATCTATACTACACTTCCCATTCATCTATCCATCCATCCATCCATCCATCCATCCTTCCTTCCTTCCAAACAACCTCTCTACTGTCTGTCCATCCATCTAAACAAGATCTATACCATCCATCCATCCATCCATCCATCCATGCATTCATTTAAATCATCTCTCTACAGTCTCTATTCATTCATTTATCTATCTATCCATCCAAACAATCTCTCTACTATCTGTTCATCTATCTAAACAATCTTTCAACCTTTCATTTATCCATCTAGACGATCTCTTTACTGTCCATCCATCCATCCATGTATTTAAATAATTTCACATCATCCACTCATCCACCCATCCATCCATCCATCCATCCATCAATCTATCCATCCATCCATGCATCCTTCCTTCCAAACAATCTCCCTACTGCCTGTCCATCCATCTTAACAATATCTTTACGGTCTCTCCATTCATCTATCCATCCATTTAAAGAATCTCTCTACCATCTATCCATTCAATATCTCTATTATCTATCCATTCATCTATCCAATTCATTTGTCCGTCTGATAAACTTTATGACTTAAAAATCTTCATTTAGAAAAAGAAGTTCATTGTTAGCATCGGTTGCAGGAGCTTCTTGAAACTGAATTTGAATATTTCTAATAGCTTCAAACTTTGTGACATACTGTAATACGTCTCTTGTTCAGATCTTTTCTGTCACGGGCATTGGAATGTGATGTTCTACTTGTGGTGTTTTCTGCAGGATTTTTGTCAGCGCAGCAGCCCGTTCCCTGCAGCCAACGAATCCAGATCGTGGCCTGGGAATCCACCCAGTCCTTTCCTCCAGCTGCCCAACTCCACGGCTTTGATCTGGGCTCCGAACATCAGCGCTCCGGCCTGCTGGCCCCCCCTCAGCGCCCTGCGGCTCCTGCTGTCTCCAGAGGACTCGTCCTGTGTGAAAACATGCCAGGACGCCGGCCTCATCTGCGAGCCAGCTTTCTTTCCTTTCATCAACAACATCGAGGCCTTCAATGGGTAAGAGATGCGTAACGTTTCTTTTGAATTTTGTGCCTTTTTTTGCATGAGTGTGTTTCTTGTTTTAATAGAGTAGCGCAGAGGTGACGCAGAGGTGTATAAAACCCGGAGTAGCAATTCACTGTGGGATTTTTCATGAATTTACTATGATTATTATTACTTCTGTGGTAAAAGTAACTTGCCCGCAGGTTAGTGGGCTTGACAAACCACCTGTAGTGAACAGTCCTTTATCTCTCTGACACTTTAACCAACACTTGCACCAGTTTTTTACACATTTGCACCAGACATTTATGAGGTGTGTCTCACACAGGTGAGTGGGCCTGACAAACCACCTGTAAAAACCCTCTTCTCTCTATAAAAACTCCTCCCTCCTTACTCTAGCATTAATTATGTTAGCACTAACAATTCCTTTATATAATTGGCACTTGCTGCATCTTCTTGTTGATTAGCTGAATGCCTCTTTAATTGTAAGGTAATCTGGGCAATAGCGTTTGCTAAATTAAAATTTTCATGGTCAATATCATTACCCCTTAAGAAATTACTTATTTTGATTGATTACAGAATAAGCACTGTTGTCCAACCATCTAACTTGCCTAGTTAACCTAATTAACACAGTTAAGCCTATAAATGGCACTTGAAGCTGAATAGTAATGAAATAGAAAACTTGTGTAATGGTGGCACACCATCTTTATCAGACTCGGGCAAACTCCACTTTTCCTTTCACTCCACCCTGAAGCCCCAGCTGGCCCTCTTTGGCCCAAGGTATTCTGTGGGCTAAAAAAGGCCGGCCACCGGCCCAGAGGAAGTCCTGCCTTGGCCCGATCAGGCCCCGGATGTGACAGTGAAAATGCGACTGGCTCACTCGCTTTAGGCGCGATAGTGGAAAAGCGGCCAATGAGGACACCTTAGGGTGCTTTCACATCTGTAGCTCGGGTTATTTGGTCCGGACCAAGGGCAAAAAATGATACATTGTTGCATTTTTCCACCGTCTTTGGGTCATTTTCACACCACACTGCTGGCTTTGGTCCGAACCAGTTGAAAAGAACCACAATGCAGTCATCTGACAAAATCAACATCCCTCATTGGCCAGATGTTGTTAAACATACTTCCTAAACTGCTTATCGATTGGTCAGATTTAACGTGCGGGAAAATGCCAATGAACTCTCGCCAGTAAACAAAACCGGCAGACACAAAATGTGGCTTTTTACTATGGACGACTGCACTGACTGATTGTATTCCTACAAACTATACATCTCGAGAATGAAGCACGGCCATGGCTGGAAAACAGTGTTTAATGTATCGCACATCACTTCAGGAGGAGGCGTGAATTAATGTAGCTAAACTGCGACATGGTCATCTTGCGGAAATGATACCAACAATCCATCAGGTAATGTTTTCCCTCTCTCTCTCTGTTGGTAAAGCGCTGTCAACAAATATTTTTCCTCCATATCCCATAATGCACAGCGCATCGGCCTACGGCAGCTGGATTAGTCCAAAATGTCCAGTACTTTTTGCAGTTGGGTCTGTTTTAGTTCGGATCATATTCTCACCACAAACAAACCACTCCAGGGTTCATTTAAAAGCTTACAGAGACCACCTTTTCAAGCAGATCTCAGTACGCTTATTTGCTCCGCTTTTGGTGCGCACTCGAGTACGATTGCTGCATTCATACCTGCCCAAACGAACCGCACCAAGACAGAAAATGAATTCTAGTGCGATTCAATCGAACTAAATAAGGCAGGTGTGAAAGCACCCAAAGTTACAAATGAATCCCTTTTGAATAGATACCACACCAGTAACAGCTCTCGTACCTTTATTTATTTATCTATCTAACTAACTAACTAACTAACTAACTAACTAACTAACTAACTAACTAACTAACTAAATACTTTAATTATGAACCAGTTTACTGGTAGAATTTGTTGGATATTTTGGTGAATGTAACAAAAAAATGTTTCAACCCATGCTAAAAATTATAAATCACCATCTATATGGGTCAAATACGTCTCATGATAGTTTTTGCATCAAATTTGCAAAAGTCATATTTATATACACAGAAAGCATTATAAATGCTAATGAAGTGTCTTCTGTAATATTTCGAATAATGAAATAAAATGTCAAAATATGAGTGAAATAATGTGCCGTTTTCACTCAGCATAGCATTTATATATGTAAAAATGAAGCAACACATATCTTCTGGTCTGCACTTATAAAATTAAAGATGATCAAACACTTTGTTTTATTATTATAAATGCATCCGCTGCGTAAAAACTTGCTGGAAAAGTTGGCGGTTCATTCCGCTGTGGCGACCCCGGATTAATAAAGGGACTAAGCCGACAAGAAAATGAATGAATGAATGAATGAAATACAAATGAGTGCAACTTTGGGGTTCGACCAATCGTGGCGAGCAAAAATATGAATATTGATGATAAATTATTTAAAAAATATAAAAAAAAAAAAAAAAAAAATATATATATATATATATATATATATAAATATATAAATATATATATATATAAATATATAAATATATATATATATAAATATAAATATATATAAATATATATATATATATATATATATATATATATATATATATATATATATATATATATATATATATATATATATATATATATATATATATATATATATATATATATATATATATATATATATATATATATATATATATATATAT